TATTTCACCATTGTTCTTCTTCTGTTGTCCTTCACATGTCCTCCTCTAATATATGATCCTTCTCTATAGACTCTCTTCAAAGGTCAGTGGATCACAATCATCTCTCTCTACACTTATATCACCTTCTTTTCAAACTTTTGCCTGAAGTTTGGCATTTTCTCCAGCTGCATCTTTAGTACTTAACACTTCGCTTCTGTGAAGCATATAATTTATCATATATAAATAGCCTCAATCAGATAGCCACTCAAAAATAATAAGCTTCCAGCAGCTTTTCCATCCAGTTATCTTCAGTTTCCTCCCCTCTTCAGGTTTTTTCTATTGCTGCATTAACAGACAAGCTGTGTTTTATCTTTGCCTTAAATTCACAGCTCAGAGGAGGAAAAAAAAAAACCCAACACCTCCTCATAGATCTTAAAGATTTCTATCCTGTTTGCTAGCCTGTGCCACTTCTTCTCTTGAGCTTTTGTTTAGGTCAGTCCTACCATCTAATTGTCATTTGGCAGCTAACTGTTCATCAGCCCAGATCAAAGGCAGGTAGTATATATACACTATCTGATGCAAAATATCTGAATAAACACCCTCTCCTTCCAAAAGAGCAAAACAGACAAGTAACAAAGAAACAAATTCTCTTACTGGCAAAAAATAAGGTTTTGCTTTTTCTTCTTTCAGCAGTTTTCTACAAAGTCTCCTGTGTACCTCTCTGTCTTCTGGACTTCACTGAGCATGAAAAGTCCTGCCAATTTTTACCAGGCCACTCATGGCTTCCAGATCTTATGTGTCAACAATTAAAATATTCAACCTTATGAAGGGCAATTCCTTTAAATTAAAGAATAGAATCATGGATTCATCGTATGTCCATCAATAAAATCCACAGCAAATCCTTTCAGCCTATATTAAAACACTCTCACTTTGCAGATGTCTTCTCTCTTAATGTCTTTAAGAAGAGTTGGAACTTGTTGAACATCTCCACAATTACCTTCCTGCACTTTGAGCCCTGCATTAGTGTAAGGATTAAATTTCAAGAAGTACCATGATGTAATTCATGACCACATTGAAGTGTGTCTGGAGACTGTCATCAAATAGCTGCATAGAACTACCACTCTTAAGTTAGTTTTAGAAAACATTTCCGTAGCTTAGTAGTGAATAACCTATCACCATAATTACAAGATAATCCTGCATCCCACTGTTTTGTACTTCATTTGATTTGATGTGAACAAATAAACCAGAAAAGTAACATATGGAGAGAGACTAAAAATTGAATATCATATCCCTGTGCTATATCAGCAAGAGCTAAACAAAACACATCAATAACAGTCAACAGTTGTAGCCTGGGCCATCTGGTCACAAAGGCCCATATTACCAAGACTGCATTAAAATATTTTGATCTTACTAGTTTCCCCCAGGAATGAAGGATAATATTCAAAAGCTTAAATTCTGCTAAAGGTGAGATTCCTCTACCTACAAGCACAGCACATCTATGACAGTTATTTAATTAAGAGATACCCTAATGAGGGGTGTGCAAATGGCAATGCAATAATCTCATTCCTAAGTGGGTATGCTGGAAAGCCAGTAACAGCACAGAGAACAGCCTCTATGCATGTATTTCCTTGTTAAGTAAATACTAATTTGAATATTTGCTATTAATTAAAACAAACCAATTTTCTCACTTGTCCTTCCTGACTTATATTACCAAACCTCAATGAATAATGTCCTCTAAAATCCACGTTTTTTTGTTTATGCTATTTTTTCCTAATTGTGAAATAAAATGTAATTAATTGTTCTCCCCCTGCTCTCCTATTTTTGCACACCTGCCCTGCTCCCAACTAAGTGTTAATAAGCAACTCAACTGTTAGTGGCTGCTGCAATCACTTCCAAACAACTCTCTGCACTTCCAGGCAACATAGCACAGGTTAGAAAGCAAGAGGCAGTCAGGACAGACGAATAAACTACACTGGTAATTTGCTAAAGCAGGTGAAAGAAAGGGAAAATAACATACTCAGGGTGCAACTGGAAACCTAACTTTTATGTGGACCTCCAAAGCGGACCACGTGATGGTATCAAACAGAACTTGTCACATCCAAAATTATCATGATCTTATATTTCATTCGGTCAGGAAAGCTTCACATTCGTGATGAGCAGCAAATGTAACATTGCAGTAACAAAGACGAAAGCAAAACAAAAGTTGGAATCATTTTTCACACAGGAAAATGTGTGGTCATTCCCCCCGACAGACAAATTATTGTATTGGAATTCCTTGTTTCTAAATGTTTTTATTGATAGGTTTATTTCTATGCCTGAATAAAATATAATAAACTGCCCCACTATGAAATCTCACGGAGATTTGACTGGGAATGCCTATTACAGAGGAGCTCAGAACGACACTGCTCACAGTGTTGGGCAGACCAGGTGAGCCCTTGTGAGCCCCTATGCTATGAGACAAACTCTGCTGTTCCCATCACAGCAGATCTACACAAGTCCTCAGCCGTGACTGCTGGCAGTTACATGACAAAAGTCTGATCTTAATCTGCTTTCCTTTCTTCTTCCTTCTCATTTTTTAAATTCTATTATAACATGCAAATTATCTCTCTTCCCCAAAACACTATAGAAACCACAGCTACTAAATACATCTGCAATGTCCCTTCACAGTGACTACAACCGACCAGAGATGGCAAAGTTTAAGTTCAAGAGAAATTCGTACACATCAGAAGCTGTAGTTCATCAGTCCACGTACTGCCGTGTTGGGGCTTCTGAAGATAAGCCCCAAAATATTATGGAAGAGGAAATAAATGTGTTTCTTATGCCTCACAGAAGTGAGCAACTAAATGAATCTTTACAAATTCACGGAGCTACGCACAGTTCACAATAAACATCTAAAGTTAAATGAGACAGATGATCAACTTTTTCTACAGTTTGTGCAGGATCTGAAACAAGTACATGAACTGGGTGTCTAAGGCTCTCTAGATTAGTATAGACTATTCTATTTCTGAAGACTTCATGGCCTACCTTATGAAGATTTGTGACATGTCAAAAAGACCTAAAAGAACTGCTTTTATTTTCAGCATTGACTCCTACTGAATTTTTTAGTTAGGGAACAATAGACTCTTTTCCCTACCATCAGTATGTCTGAGGCTCCAAACCTTTTTATTTATGCTTTATTAAGCATTCAGTTGCAAATTACTCCAGCTGACCTAGAATACTTCATTCCATTATTTTAACTATCTCTAAAATTTTTGTCTCACTTAACACATATAGACTCTATGTTACTACTTGCAATAGCCAAAATACTCATGGCTAGATACTTTAATTAGAAATATACTGAGAAAAAATTATATTTAAAGACTTTAAAACTGATGACAGCTGAAAGGATTTCAAGGTGCTGATCACTTGCAGTTCCTATAATTTAAACATTAGTTGAGAATAGGTATCTTAGGACCTTTGAAAAACAGACTGACAGATGCTTTTACACTTCTGTGTTTGTACATCATCTAATGCACTTGTGATCCCTGACTAGCATTTCAGGAACAATAACAAATCAAGATGACAAGACACTAGGAAAACGTTTAAGTAGAAATAGGACCCAATTCATCTCATTCTGCTTAAGGAGCCTCAGTTACCAGGACTACAATTCTAACTCCCAATAAAAATACTTAATGAAGGCACTTCTAAAGAGCAACTCAGCTCTAAAAATTCAGTGTTCAGGAGCAGTAGGGGTGGAAGGGAGGAGGGAGAAATAAATCAGTAACAAAAAAAAGAAAGAAAGACTATAAGTCTGTGTATAAGTAACCTTTTTAATTCTCTCACTGCTTTAAAATTGCACAACAGAAGTCTTAAAAATTAACTATTTATCACTAACATATTAACGAACAATATTTACTTTAGTTGTTGATCATTAATTCTCAAACACTGAAACATGAAGGGAAAAGTTCAGAAATGGCTTTAGAAAGTTTAGGACACATTGAAAAATACTTCAGAAAGATAGAAAAACTTACGGAAATTCATGAGATCAGTATAAATTATTGATGGGGAAAGGGGGGAAAATTAAATCTTCATAGATTATTCTTTCTTTTTACTGGTAGGAAAACAACCTTTCCTAATTATTAAAGGAACTGATTAGGTGCCAGCTGGCTAAATTACACATCGATTGTAGAGTAAAATTCTGCCCCTGACCTGTGCATTTAGCTCCAGTGATCGTATTGGTGCAAATTAGGAATCGACTCCACAGCTGTATAGGCCATCATGTCACTAACACACCTACTAAAGTCAGAGCAATGCATAACAGTCCCTGTTTCAAAACTGCCAACATGAAAAACATATTCATATAATTACAACTTCTGATGCCTACATGGCCATTTGAACAATTATTGGTATTTTAATTTTAATGATTTTGTATATATAAGCTGTATATCTGAAGTTCTGGAAAAGTGTCTGTTAGAACTCTCGTCTATCTAGTTGCCTGCAGACACGAGAAAAACTTTCCACTTCTTTGTCAGACCTTTGCAAACAACAAAAAATAAAATGGAAAACACCTGCAAAGACTTATTTTTTCCTTTGGACACTAGAAATTAACTAAGGAATGAACAAGAGATGGTTTTGCATGTAATGCCTTATGAATTCCTTCTAGGTCTTGAGAACAGAAACAAGATAATCCACACTATGCAGTAGGATATTCTTCATAACATTCCTAGCCTAGATTTCAGCCCCAGTCTAACACAGATACAAAGGTAGGCAGCAACCTCTGCTGAAGACAGCAGCTGCATGAAAACATACGCCCCTGATTAATGCTTTTTACCAGAATGTATGCCATTAAAGTCTGCCATGAATACAAAGCCATTTTCATCTGTCTACGCAATACAGACAGTAAAACAATCTTCTCTGTTCAGTTTTATGTTTCTTAATTTTGTCTGGGATATTACTACCAACACGATAGGCATTACAAAATTTTAAGAGAAATAGATCAATTACTTACTATCAAAATTTTATCCAGTTCTTTGTTGACTTACCTTGCCAACAGATCTGGGGAATGGTGGTCTTTGATTTTCGGGAATTAATATTGGAGTTGCCAAAATAGCCCTTTTTTGTCTTGGAATTCCAAGGTTGCCTTCTATCTTAAAGATTTCCTATAAAAGAAAAAGACCAATTACGAAGACTTTCAAAATAATATTCAGTTGTTATTTCCATTCCCTGCATCTTTAGGCAAAATTAACATGAGCTACCAGATTCTAGGTTTTGTATTATATGTTTTCCAGCAATAAGTGATAACATATCAAACTATTTATTTAAATCTGTCAGGTTACTCCACTTATTACAGTGACAGTGGACATGCTATATTCATTTTGTATTCCTGTACACTAGTTTTAAACCTAAGCAAGTGTGTCTACCATCCTAACTTGATGACTGCTTAAATCATAAATCTTAAACAAGGTCTGGCTTACTTCAAATGCTTGCATGAGACCTATAAAAAGCCACACTTTAAATGTCTTACATAAGTTTCACATCTCAAGTCACATCTATACTCGGTCGCTTTACAGTCCAGGCTTTTAATCAAACAGAACTTACAGGTGAATTTGCTGATACCGTCCCCAGCTAATGAACTCTCAAGAAGCACCAAAAGCTTGTAACTTAAAAATAAAAATAGACACCAAAACCCAGGTGTAACTTAGTATATCAGCTAGTAGGGGTTTTTTATGTTGCGTGTTTTGGGTTGTTGGTGTGGTGTTTTGTTTTGTTTTTCTTTTTTTTTTTTTCTCTCTCTTCTTAGAGAAAACTTCATGCTACTATATCAGAAAGAACAAAAATAGAAGTGCTTTGTACACAAGCCTTCCTATTGCTGCTGCATTTTCTGGAGTATTTAGTTCTAGCTGAGCTTCAGGCAATTCAGCACTTCATGAGCTACAGCAAACTCTTCACAGTGGCCTCTGGCCCCTAGAAAACTCTGTCCATCACACCTTTGCCTTCCCTCCCCTTCTGCTCTCTGATCCTCTCAGTGCTCTCTCCGAGAGCTGCTGTTTCCCAGAGACCACCCCTGTCCTTTTGCTTCCTCCTACAGTCTCTGCAACTCTCTTCTCCAAGCACAATTAACACCAAGGTCAAAACCAGCTTCTCTCCATCTCCCAAAGCTCTCCCCTTGATCCAGGCCCCTTTTCAGAAGAAAAAACAAACAAAACAAAACACACAAAACCAAACAAAAAAAAAATCACACAAATTAGTACTGCATTGGGAATTGTGAAACTGAAAAAGATTTAGATCACCGCTATTCATTCAGGCGGTTGTGACAGTTTTACAAAAGAAATTATAGGTCGAATTAAATGTCTAATTCCAATAAAGTAGTTACACCCTACACATAACACTTTTTCTCTGCTCTCATAATGCAGAAGCTCCAGAAACCTAAGTTTCTCAGTCAGTTCTGGAATCCATGTTGTTGTTTGAATAGCTGCTACTTTGTAAGGAGAGCTCCATCCCTAGCCTGTATTTTTATAAAACTTCAAAGCTGAATGAGTTTACTTGGTGGCATGATCTGGACACCCATCAGTCAAGAACTCCACAGGCTGCTCCTGCTGCCACGTGTATAGGTGCCTCCCATATAACGAGTCTATCATCAGCGAAACACTGCTCTACCTCTACTAGCTTTAGCATCACTTTTCAAATTTGACAACAAACAGCAGCAAGGGAAACTCAAGCCTTCAACAGTCAGCTTTAGACATGATAAAGTCAAAGAGCAGTGGAAACCATGCAGAAAATCCCTTCTCAAAATTTTGCCAATTTTCATAACTTTTTCAGACTCACCCTGATACAGAGTTCCCTTCTCTCCCAAAAGCTTTGCCACTTCTCTCTAATCTTTCAGTCTGCAGGCCACTTGGGTCCCTATTTTTCTGTTTCAATTCCTCTCCCAAAAGAATTTTCCCTAATAAAAATTCATGAGAAAGTTCAAGATAAAAACATTTGAAGTGTCAAATAAAAAGGAATGAGCTGAATTCTGTCCAAAGGCAAATGCACAGAGCAGTAAGCTTTCAAAACCACTTACACTGTAAACACAGCAGACAGTTTGGCTGGCATGTGCCTGTGACATTTCTAAGGAGAGTAAAAGTGACTACCAGTAGTGCCCAACTGATCACAATTCTCACTCGTGCTAACTCCTACCTTCATGGCTGCCCTTCAGCTCATGAAAACGTAAGGAAGAACTCGCAGATGCACGCTCTTTGGAAACGAGTAAGGCATTTATTCCGATTTACATCTTCTTGTATCATAGAATGGTTTGGGTTGGAAGTGACCTTTAAAGGTCATCTAGTCCAACCCCCCTGCAATGAGCAGGGACAACTTCAACTAGATTAGGTTGCTCAGAGCCCTGTCCAGCCTGACCTTGAATGTTTCATGTTTCTTTCTATGCTAGTTGGAGGAGTAAAAGAAATTTTCAGGTTGATCAATATCTAGATCTCCCAATTTTGGTAGTTATAGACCCATAAGCAATTAATTCATCACTTTCTCATGACAGGTTATCCTCACACTTTCCCAGGAGGTCCACAAATGGAAGAAAAAGCCAAATTATATTCAGTGAGTCAACACTGCAGTCATTAATACAAAGCAGCAAAGTTCTAAAGGAAAGCAGAAGGGTGGTAAGACTTAAGGCCTTCAAGTCCAGATTTCCAAGCAGGACTGTGGAACAAAAAAGGAAAAATAGCATCATTTGTTTGTTTTTAAACACAATTGGTCTGTTGCATGGAGAAGAAAGCTTCAGCATATTGGGCACAGAAATGTAAGTACTTCTCTGAGTATGTTTCACACTGTTTATCCTTCAAATCTCACTGCTGTTTCTTAAATACCGATTTCTTCATGATGATTTCTCTCTTCCTCATCATCCCCTGGTGTCTAACAGCAGCATGACTGATTAAATGAGTAGCCAAAAGCATCACTATGGAATGCAGGTAAACAGAAAGGAAGAAAAGGTCAAGAGTACTTCACCAACACGTTTAATAATTCAGTGCTGTTTGTGGTTATCATAACGACTTCCCCATTTGTAAAGAACAGGGAAAAAGAAAGAACATTTTGCTTAATGCCAAGCAGCTGCAACTGATGGTTTGATCCTCAACCAGTACATAAGACAGAAGCCAAAGAATCTGAAATTACCTGTGCACTTAGCACCTGATTCAACAGTCAAAACACTGAAAAGATTCCCATTCATGGGTGGATATATTGCATGTATAATAATTTTTACTGAATTCACCTATTTAATTTCTTGAAGAAGGAACTCACAAGGGATATGAAATTACTCCACACAGAGTTGGTAATTTTGCTTCAAATTTTGTTACAATATCAGGCTAGCATTATAACAGGAGTCCTCTTTCGCCCCTTGACACAAGTGAAACCCACAAAGGAGTTTTCCATCATCTTTGCTGGAACCAGCTGATCAAAAACTATAGTAACTATCATGTCTTTGTAGCAGCCGTGACTCCAGACAAGTATTTATGTGCCAGGAGTCTGAAGCTGGTAGTCCAGAGAGCCTAGAATGGCATGTCCCAGATGAGTGGTGTTTAACCAGCACCCAGAAAGCCAATGGCTATGATTGCTTCTCCCACGCCTGCTGCTTTGTACAACAACCAGAAACCTAAGGTGTGTGACCAGAAACACCAGAAACAATCACCCAGAAGCAAAAAAAAAAAAAAAAAAAGGTATATACAGTAAATATATGCCTTCTTAAGAAAAGTGCACCAAAAATAAAAATTCTGGTTTTCTGATTGAATTTTTTTTAAACCAAAGCAGTAGGAGATCAATCCTACCAGGTTCTTTATTTTCACTATTTAACTGCAATATCACACCTGTGATCGCTATCTTTCAGCTGCTATTTTCATGGACAGTGAATCTGATCAGAATCCAACTATCATTTCACTGTCTACCATTTCATAACAAGCTTTTACACCCTTATTTGTTACTTCATTAAATTCCCTTTGTAGACATGGCATCGGTACAGCAATAGTTCAGCACCCAATATGCTGATTCACTGGCAACAAAGCTTGATTCCCTATTCACATTAAGCAAGCAACAAACACAGCCTCCTCATTTTTCCAGCATTTAGGTTACGCTTTTATTGAAAGATGCCAGTCTGCCCAAACTATGATGCTACACAAGTTGCATTTTCCCTAGATCCCTTGAGAACTCTCCACTCTGTTTTGTTTTTCTTTCTTTTTACCAGGGGTTCTTGGGAGCATTGCAGTACTTGAATATTTGAATGAATGGCCTAGTCACTCCCCAGTAGCAGGCACCATTACTCTTGGCAAAGAAAATTTCATTAGAACTTGTCATGGGAATAAGGCGGCTGAATACTGATATAGATTTGTCACAATAAGGGTTGGAAACATCACTGGAGTGGCAATCTGTAATCCGCTATGGTGACCAGAAAAGTGGTTAAGTTTCTTGCCATTTAGTTGTTTTTATATACTAAGCTTGAAGGCATAAAATGGGGTCAGTCCCAAATAAAAAAAAAAAAAAAAATTAATTGGATGCTTGTTGCAAGCAAAATTCCTCTGAAATAGCAAATGGGATGTGATATTCAGTGGTCTATCAGTCTTCCCACAAAATAACATCACTACATAAGACTGAAAACTAAAACTGCATGCAGATCAACTTAAGAAGAAATAGTTTTCCATCATTCTCAGCTGAAATTTCACAATTATGCTGTAATAATTAGTTGCTTTATGTATGTTATTTCTATCATCAGAATATTGTTATTATCAGCAGTATTAATAGTTAATGATTTCTAAAACATGTGCCAAAACAGAAATATATGTTCTCATGTTGTTAATAATATGAAAATCTAAGAATTGTGCTGGAACTTTACTTATAAGTTAAAGAACAACTGTTTAAAGAAATAATTAACTCAATGAATAAAGTTAAGAATTGTAAAGGTCAATGGCATACACACAAACATCTGCTCGAAAGTAGACTGTCCTTAATGTCTGCTAATGTCCTGCCTGTTAATGTCACCCTAAAAATCACATTGTATATTTTAGAAGAACAAATCCAGCTAAAATCTAGCATGCTAAAAGGAATCAGGTATGTCAGAGCACATAAGCCTCCAGGCTTGTGAAGCGTGGTCAGACATAACACCTGGGTAATGGAAATTGCT